TTTATTGCAGTTTTGTGTTGTTCTGTTTTCCTTTTGGTGAATGAGAAACTAAAACTATTTGTTTTGATAATATTGCTGTGTGAGACTTTAAGCATCCAGCTGCAGAGGTGGAGGATCCACATAAAAAGGTTCGGGAACGCAGGTGTGATCCATTTTAGAGGAGCCGGATCCTTAAGCTCAGACTGGGCTGCAAACAGCCATCACTAAAACACGCCATGTCTTTCAGAAGACACCTTTTTATGGTCCTCCACTCGCCCCAAAATACGCTCCATATCTCCTTTTGTGTGAAACATGAAGGCTGACAGTTTAGCTAACACTGGCTTTACGATAGAAGAGGCACATTCTGACGGAAATATAGGAGGCTGTCAAGAGATTTTTTTACCAGATGGCATCTTTAGCTAAAGTCAACTGGGAGAAGAGCGAAGCTTTATGAGCAGGTCAGGTTCAAGTAGAAGGACTTGAAACCACCTGCAGGACTTGTACAGGAAATACAGGGAGCACTGCTGACTTTCTTCTGGTCAGGCCATCACTGGGTTCAAACAGCTGCATTGTACCTTCTATTACAACAGGGGGGACAAGGCCTTGTGGACATCAGGTCCAGAATTATGACTTTTCATCTACAAGCTGCTCAGAGATTGTTAATCATAATCGTTATACAAACTGCAAGAGACTGAGCTAGTTGGTCTCACTCCTTTTTATTGGTCTGTGTTGGAGGCTTGGAAGGATTCTTCCAGCTCGAGGTCATGTGTTAGGTGTCTTGCTGGGATGTGGATAATGGAGGAGCCTTTATTTTTTAACAGTTTTTATTGTCAGAGCTTTTGTTTTATGAATATTATGCTGTGGTGGGGAAACTGCAGGTGTTCATGAGTATTTGGGGTATAAATGGACTGCCGTGTAGGCTTCATGAAGAAAATGATGACTTAAGTTTGAATTTCTAATTATGTTCTAGTTTTTACTTTATTAAGGAAGGGCATTGTGGGTCCCTGGAGGAATAGTGGTTAGGCCACAGCGCTCTCAC